ATTATTTTTCTACTTTTTCTTCTTTTTTTCTTCCCTTTTTTTTTTGTCTTTTTATTTTTTCTTTTCTTTTTTTTTTTTATTTTTTAATTGGATTATAAAATGCTGTGAAAAAATGTAAGCAAGAGAGTGACCTTGCTTGTAACAATAATTTAAAATAAATTTTTTGTAAAAAAAAAAAGAAAGAAACAACATACGAGTTTTTTTTTTTTTTCATTTTCAAAATGTAACAAAAATTTTTTTTTCAAGAAAAAAATTTTAATTGCAGAAGAAAATTCTTGTTAATTCAAAATTTCTGTTTAATTTTAGAATTGACGCTTCAAACGATAAAACTGATGGTGATAATAATAATAATAATAATAATGGCGTATCATATGCGGAAATAAATGAGGATAAATTGGATTGGACTACAGATGGTTTTGCTAAAAAGATTATTCATTGATCTCGTGAGAATACTCGGGAATCACTCGGGAAAATACATTGTATTCTGGGCAATCATTAATAGAGAAATTCCAGGATATTTATCATTTATTATTGAATCTCATCCAAAATCTTCTTCCTTTCTTTCTTCTTTGTTTTTATATTTTTTTTATTTTTTATTTCTCTATTCAAAAATTTCACATTATACATCGTTCGCATGATAAATTCCTTAAATAAATGATAAGAATTTATTAATTGAAAATTTGAAATTGAAATTTATTATATGAGAAAATTAAAATTTGATAATCATATCATGGTAAAATAAGTAAAATATTTTACTGATGATAATATATTATCAGATGGTTGATGATATATGGATATGTTTAGGATATTTTATCAAACTGATATCTTTTATTTTCGATAATTATTGTTAGAATTTTTATCCTATCATTGCAATTTATTGATTTGCAAATTAAACGAATATTGGGATATTCATTTATTATTGAATTTTAAAAATCATTTCAATTACTTATAGAAATGAGTAAGTAAGTTAATTTTTTTCCATCAATTAAATTTTCATCTTTTAAATTCAATTCTTTAAAAGTCCTCTATTATCTCTATTTACATGGGAATTTCGTTAAAATTTTCCTTTTCTTTTCTTTTTTTTTTAAAAAAAACTTTTTCTAAAATTTAGATAATTTAAAATTAAAAAATTAAAATATTAACATATATCAGTGAAAAAGGCTAAATTTTCAATTACCCGATATGACAACATTGAAAGCATAATCAAAAATAGTTGGTAGCATTTAATTTTTAACATTTATTATAATTAAACATATATCTGAAATTTCCGTTTCTTTTTTTTCTCCTTCATTAAATTTATTGAATTGAAAATTTATGACATGAAACAGAGGAATAGAAGTGGGAAATGACAAAATGCTTAAAATTCTTAAAGTTTTAACTTAAAATTTAATTTAAAATGCTTAAAGTTTTTGCTTTTTATTTACTTATTTTTTCATTTAAATGAGACAAAGTATTTGTTTATTTTTTCATTTAAATTTGACGAAAAATACTTTGTCACATTTAAATGTAAACAATTATATTGTTGAATATTTGATGCAGAAAATTTTTATGATTTTTCTTTTTCCTGTACTGATAAATAATTCTATTATTTATGCATGATTTTTACATATGTTAAAAACATGAATGTATGAATGATGTTATTTCATCTTCTTATCAAATTATCATTTTGTTAAGAGATGCTAATATATAATACATTATAGTATTGTGATTTTATCTGATATACTTCCAGTGATATTTATCCCAAAACACGGGAAAGAAATTTTCTAACATTTTATTTTCTTTTCTCATTTTTTCCTTTATTCTTTAAAATTAATGTAACATTTATTGGTGAGGGGAGTGTTAAATGTGGAAAAAAAAAGAAATAAGAACGATTGAAAAATCGGAAATGAATTAATTTTTATGCCACTTGGCAAAAAAAAAAAAAGAGAAAAAAAGTGATAATTGATAATTTGAGCAGAAATTTTAATAGATTTTGCTTGAATTGTTTGGTTTTTTGGCTTAATTATTTAAGTAAATTTACGTTTAACTTTAAATAAATTTATTGAGAAAACAATTTAAGCAAATTTATTGTGATTATTTCAATTTATATATATACTTTTTTTTTGACATCTTCCATGAATTAATTTTATGGATGGTGCTGATTTTTTTTTTTGTCTTTCGTTTCAAATTTTAATTTCATTTTTTTCCTTAATTTTAATTCATATATGCTTTTCAGAATTAACAAAAACTGCTATTTTATACGCCAAACTTTCTCTCACTGCCCTTCCTTTCTTTTCAAAATTTAATTTTATTTTCAAC